ACAATGGGCTTCCAAGTTACCATGTAAACCAAGCCCATCATGAGTTAGGTGTTATCGGACCCACCAAGCCATACAGTAGGACGTGCATAGCAGCAGTCTGTTATCAAATGAAAGTGATACACATGTGATCAGGCAGGATCAGACAGTAACTTACCTGAGCAGGTCCTGAAGGTACAAGCAAATTACATGAAGAAGTTAGTCAAATGCCTATGGTTTCTACTTCCATTACAATGCTGTTTGCTGCTGAGCATGCACCTATAGCTTCATAGGGTGTTCCCTATGATCAATTGACTAAGGAAAAGGAGACTAGGGCCTGGTTCACTGATGGTTTCTATACATTATGCAGGCACCACCCAGAAGTGGACAGCTGTAGTATCCTGGGACAACCCTGAAAGACACGCATGAAGGGAAATCTTCGCAATGAGCAGAACTTCAGGCAGTACACATGGTATTACAGTTTGTTTGGAAGGAGAAATGACCAGATGTGCAATTGTTCACTGATTCATGGGCTGTAGCCAATGGACTTGAAAACAGCATGATTGGAGAATCGGTGAGAAAAACATCTGAGAAAGTATGTGGCTAGATCTCTCCAAATGGGGGAAGGGTGTGAAGATACCTGTGTTCCATGTAAATGCACATCCAAAAGTGACTTCAATAGAGAAGTTCAATAATGGATGGCCCATTCTGTGGCCAGGCAGTTTCTTTCCCCAGCCATTCCTGCCATTGCCCATTGGGTCCATGAACAAACGGGGCCACTGTGGCAGAGATGGGGATTATACATAGGCTCAACAACATAGACTTCCACTCACCAAGACTGACCTGGCTACGGCTCCTTCTGGGTGCTAGATTCACCAACAGCAGAGACCCATGATGAGCCTTAGATGTGGCACCATTCCTCAGGGTGACCAGTCACCAAGCTGGTGGCAGATTGACTACATTGGACCACTTCCTCCATGGAAAGGACAATGCTTTTGTCCTCACTGGAGGAGATTCTTATTCTGGTTATGTGCATTTCCTGCACATAATGCTTCTGCCAAAACTACCATCCATGAACTTACAGGATGTCTTATACACCATCATGGTATTCCACACATTAATGCTTCTAACCAAGGAACTCACTTCACAGCCAGGGAAGTAACACTGGGCCTACAGACTTGGAATCCACTGGTCTTACCTTCTTCCCCACCATCCTGAAGGAGCTGGCCTGATAGAAAGATGGAATGACCTTTAAGACACAGTGGCAGCAGCATGGGACAGGGTTCTCCAGAAGGCAGAATATGCTTTGAATCAGCGTCCAATATATGGTAGTTTCTCCCATACCTAGAATCCATGAGTCTAGGAATCAAGGGGTGGAAAGGGGAATAGTTTCTCTCCAGCACTCCTAGTAATCCCCACCACCACAGAAAAAAATTACTTTCTGTTCCTGTAAACCTTAAGTTTTGCTGACTTAAAAGTTTTGGTTCCAGAGGCTCAAGCACTCCTGTCTGGAACCACAACAAACATTCCATTGAACTGGAAACTCAGACTCCACTCTGGTCACTTTGGGCTTCTGATGCCTTTAAACCAACAGGCTAAGTAAGGAATAACAGTATCAGGAGGGGTGATTGGTCCAGATTACCATGGGGAAATTGGATTACTTCTCACAATGGAGGTAAGAAAGATGATGTCTAGAGTGTAGGAGATCTTTAAGGTGCCTCTTGGTGCTACTGTGCCCTATGAACAAAGTCAATGGGAAGTTACCACAGCCTAATCCAGGCAGGATGATAAAGAGCACAGACCCATCAGGAATGAAGGTGTGGGTAACTCCTCCAGGAAAAGAGCCAAGACCTGCTGAAGTGCTTGCAGAGCATGGAGGAAATACAGAATGGGAAGTGGAGGAAGTAGTTATACATACCAGCTAAGACCACATGACCATTACAGAAACAAAAATTATACTTAACATGAAAGTTTCTGTTGTATTTTGATAAGAATACATTTGTACAAATGTTTGTGTTTTCTTTCAATTTCTTTATCATGTGATGTAACATCAATTAAGATGATATCAATGGTTATGATATTTAAGTTTAAGATAATAAAAGAATGTCTCTCAAAAAACAATGCCTCCTATTCTAAATTTATAATGCATTTTCAGTTGTCTAACAGATAGCTATATATGTTAGGCATAATTATGCCCTAGTTAAATAGATAATGTTATTGTAATTGTATGTGGGATAATTATATTATGTTTAGGCGTTATGACCTGGTTATTGTTTTCATTTGGAAATTAATTATGACATAAGGAGATATGATTGTGTGTCTGGTTGGCAAGGGGTGGATTATGATGGCTATTCTTGGCTGTCTCCTGGACTACACCTGGAATTAACTAAAATCTGAAAATTTAGGACACACCTGAGGGTTTTTTGCTTAATTTGAAATTGGTAAATCCACTTTTTTTTTTTTTCTTTTTTGATACAAGGTTTCTCTGTGTAGCCCTGGCTGTCTTGGAACTCACTCTGTAGACAAGGCTGGCCTTGTACTCAGATCCACCTCCCTCTGCTTCCACAGTGCTGGGATTAAAGGCATGTGCCACCACCACCACCAGGCTTGGTAGATCCACTTCTAATGGGAGATGTTATTCTGTAAATATGTTTCTCTTATCGGTTAATGAATAAAGCACTGTTGGCAAATAGGAAGGCAAGATAGGAAGGCAAGATAGGCAGGACTAGGAGACAAGGAGAATTCTGGGAGATCTAGTAGGAGATTCAAGATGTAGGGACTTGAGAGGAAAAGGTCCGGACCCTCTCTCCGTGCAAACTGTTAGATTAATAGAAATGGGTTAATATTTAAGACACAGCTAGCCAATAAGAAACACTAGTAACAGGCCAACAGCTTAATATCTAATACAGTGTCTCTGTGTGTTATTTTGGGGATGACGCAGCTCTGGAACCAGGCTAGAGGGAAAACCGCTGGTAACACACTTATAATAGATTTTGAGTCAAGAGGGCATTCATCTTTAATCCTGGGTCTTGAATTGAGAAGATACACCTTTTATGTGGGCCACAACTTCTGCTGGAAACATATATATATATGAAAAAAGCTTTTGCTTTTTGCCTGTTTGTCTTTTCCTTGCTAGCAAATCCATTCCTTCACTAGCATTGCAGCCTACTTCCATAGAATTCCATTGTCTAATAAAGACCAGCTGAGACATTCAGCCTTGTGGACTGATCACCTACTGGATTCTTAGACTTTTGGTTCAGTTAGCCATTGTTGGAGTAGTCTGAAGCCATTTTAATAAATTCCCTTTTTATATAGAGATTCATTCTATAATTTGTGTCACTCTAGGGAACACTAATACAGACAAAATTTTCTACTGCCAAAGTCACCACATTCCCCCTTGGTGGAAGGACATGGAGAAATCAATATGGGATTGAACTGGCCCTTCCTCCCTCTTGGCTAGCTGTCATAGTTCTGGAAGGCACTATGCAGGCTGGTTAGGGGAAAATTGTAACCTTGTTCTCACTTGGCTGCAGTTCCTGAAGGCTACAGTATCAACAAGTCAGGTCTGATGTGCCCACTGGTGAAACTATTATGGGTACAAGCAAGTATTTTCTAATTGGATTCGTGGATCTCACAAGAAGTGACTGGTGTCTGAGTCTGTAAACCTGGTCAAAAGCCCATGGCTGAGGAGACCATAGACTTTATTGAAAGCTGCTGCTGTTCCTTTGCTAAGTGATAAGTGTCTGTCTAATTGCCTTCTAAATATTTGTGTTTATGCTTATCCATTAGTGCAGCTGTCATCTTTGGTCAATAAAGTTTGTTTTATAGCAGGCAACAGTTACTGCAGAGACTCAACTGGCCCAGGTGGTTTAGAATGCCCAGCCTGAACGGGACATCTATGCAACCTATCCAAGTCTCAAGGGACATCCTGGAGGAGGGAGGCGGGAAGATGGTAAGAGGTGGAATGTTGTAGAAGGCTATCAGCACGGTGATTATAATGGGGTGGGGGAGGGGCTCCCTGCCACCAATGGATTTATAGGCAGTTAACAGTTGCAAGGGAAGGAAGATTCTCAAGCTCCCATCCCCCAGCTTTTGTAGGCAATTAACAGTTGCTAGGCAGAGATATTTTATTCAGTGGCATAGCCCCTGCTCTTGAAATGGTAATTAAACTAACTCATTGGTTCATCAACTGAGATTTGAATGGAATTGTTTCTTTGATCTGTTGAATAGAGATTTGTTCCTCTCCACAGAAGAGTTTATACAAGTGGGAAAAGCAAGATACAGAGCTGTGCAGACAATAATGCTTCCTTCTGGGTTAAATGGAAGTATGCCTCCTGTGTTCACACACACACACATTACCAGGAAGAAACAATAGAAACTATCATTCAGTGCCTCGGGCACCAATACCTTCCACTGTGATGAGCATGGAAGTAAGTACAATTGAAGGAAAAAAGAAAAACTTTAGCACCCAGACACTACAAAAGCAAAAGCCTTGGATATGATTTCCTACAACCCCCGACCCCCACGCCCGCCCCACAAAAAAAAGACGGGCAAGGTGGTGCGCGCACTCTGGAGGCAGAGGCAGGAGGACTGGCAGAGCATTGCCTGAACCATAAAAAAGCTGGGAGGATATGTATGTCAATAAGCTAGCCCAGGTGAGATTCATAAACCCAGTCAGTGGCTCAGGTGCAGGAAAATAAGAAAGCTCACTTCACAAATCAACATCACTGAGCTGGAGAGATGGCTGGAAGGATTACCCAAGTTTGATTACCAGCACCTACATGGAGGTTCATACCCATCACTCCAGTTCCACGATGTACATGATACACAGACACACACAGAAAATAAAATCTTTTAAAATAAAAAGAGAACGTCGCGAGAAGGAAGTGAAGGAAGCGTTTCCAGATGACTAAAGACTTCAGCAGTCCAGACAGAGGCTGCAGAGAGGCTCAGGGAGAAGTGCGGGGCGTATCCAAGGAGCGCCCATATTCCGGGGAGCAGCCAGGCCCCCCGAACCGGGCGGCGGCCGCGCAGACGCGCAGGGTTCTCGGTTCCGCCTCCGCCAATCTGGACCCTCCTCGCGTTCCGTTCGTGCGTGCGAGCCGGCGCCGAGCTGGCGGGGCCGCGGAGGGCGGATGGCGGACTCGCAGGCGTTCTGCGTGGCCGAGGAGCGCAGCGGCCACTGCGCCGTGGTGGACGGACACTTCCTCTACGTGTGGGGGGGCTACGTGGTAAGGGGAAGGGGCGGGCGCTCCGGGGCGGCGCGGGAGCGGCGGCTGGGGGATGACGGCCGGCGACGCGGCACCCCCGCAGGCTTCCAGGCATCTCGCCTGCGCTGCGCTGCGCACCCCACTCGCCACGGGTCGCCCGTGGTCGCTCCGGTTCCCAAGGCCACACAACCGGCGTCCCGGGGTGCGCGACTCCTGCAGCCTCAGGGGCGCAGGGCTGGAGAGGACCCCAGGACGCCGTGCCTTGTTATACTGTGCGTCTTATTGCCACGGTGCGACTCAAAATACCGAAGTCACCAAGCAGTTAAATGTATCAGCTGTTTTTTGCTTTTTTTTCTGGCATTTCTTTGCTAATTAAGTACTTTAGGGAGTTTCAAAATAGATTCGTATTCGCCATACCACACCACAGAGAATTGTGGTTGAAAATTCGTATTACCATGGCGGTTGGAATGTGTGTTTGTTTTGTTTCTATGATCGTAGCGTGATAGCAAGGATTATCGAGTTGGAAAAATAATTCACGCCAACCCCGTTCGTTTACAGATTAGAAAATAAGCCCCATGGAAGCCCTACTGTAAATAGAAGATGCATCTTCTGACTTCTCTATACCTCTATATGACAGACCTGTAACACGAGTGAATCAAAAAGAAATAAAGTGCATACTGTGTGTGCTAAGAATTCTCAGGTCCAAGTGGGTTTTTGTTGTTGTTTTGTGTGTTTATTCCTAATTTAGCGCAGTATCAGAAAAAAAATCAGAGTTAATTTTTGAGTGCCCACTATATCTGGCATGTACCTAGGAACTCTCGATCTTAATCAGTAGGATCATAGATTACAATCTAATCTGTAAAGTGACCCTGTATAGTAGACAAGTCTCCATTTTATTTTAATATTTTTAGATTTACCTTATTTTATGTACATGAGTGTTTTGCCTGTATGTATGTCTGCGTCTTGTGTATGCTTGCAGCCCATGCAGGTCATAATCCCTGGAACTGACATTACAGACTGTTATGGGCCACTGTGTGGGTGCTGGGAATCAAATCCAGGTCCTCTGCAAGAGCAGCCAGTGCTCCCGACCACTGAGTCATCTCTTCTGCTCCAAGTCTCCATTTTATAAAAAAAAAAGGCATTGACCCCTTGATGGCCATGTGACACCAGGGGCTGCTTCCTCGAGCTTTGTTTTATTAATTAATTTAATTGAGACAGGATCGCCCAGTGCAGCTCACACAGGCTGGCCTGGAATTTCTTGTGTAGCCCAGGTTGGCCACAACCTGGCTAACTTCCTGTTTTTGCCTCTCAAGTGTTCAAATTTACAGGCATGAGTGACCACTACTAGCTCTCCCATTTATTTCTGGAGGGTTTTTGTTTGTTTGTTTGTTTTTGGTGGGTTTGTCTGTTTTTTGTTTGTTTTGTTTTAAAACAGGTCTCAAGTACCACAGGTTGGCTTCCACCTCCCAAGTGTTGAGATTATTAGTGGTCTCCTGGCCTGGTTTCGAATTTGTGTTTTGTGGAAAAACTACTTTATACATATATAATATATAGTGATGGCTGTGTGCACATAAAGGTTTTTTTTTAATGTTTTTAAGCTCTATCACTAGGAGATATAGACTTACTAAACTTTTTCTGCTGTGTTCATAGCAGGCTGTGTTGACAAGGTTAAGTTTAAGTGAATTGGAAAAAATTAAAATAATAATCTTGCCAGCCAGGTTGTATAGTGGCATGCCTGTAACATCTGAAGTTGGGCAAGAGAAGTAGGAGCTGAAGGGCCTTCTCTGTTACATTGTGAGTTCAGGGATTAGCCTGGGATACATGAGACTTTGTCTCAAGAATAATAGTAATCTTCTAATATCTCATCTTTGTATGGACTCGCTTCAACTCCATAAATGAAATAAATCAGTACAGAATTCTTTGAGGCCATAAGGAAAACGTCTGAATATTTTAAAACTTCTTTCACCATGGAAAGTTGTAATCGGTGGGAGTCCAGTTCTCCAGGGGACAGCTAAAGAATATTCCATAGGGCATAGGAACTACAAACAAAGCCTGAAAAGTAGAACACAGATTTAAATCCCAGGGATCAGCAGCAGTCCAGTAATATCCCTGTAGAGGAGCATGGCACTGGCACTACAATCTCAGAAGTCCATGATGCCTGGCATAAGAGGCGGGGGTATAGCTGCATCTCAGCTGCCTCTCGATGTTTGTCAGTCTACAGACTTCTCTGTGGTGTGGCCTCAGAGCTTGCTCTTGGCAAGACAGGATGCTGGGTCTCCAGTTTCTCTGATGAGCCATGAACTACTTAACAGTCACTTCTTCACTGTTTATGAGGAGTTTGAGACAGGGTCTCTGTATAGCCCTGGCTGTCCTGGAACTCTTTATGTAGACCAGAATGGCCTCCAACTCCAAGATCCACCTGCCTTTGCCTTCCGAGTGCACCGATATGCCCAGCTAAGTTTTATGGATTTTATATACTAAGGAACACATAAAATATCACTCACAGTTAAACACACTCACCTGTCAGATTCAGAAACAGGGCCAGGGAGATGGCTCAGCAGGGTCAGGTGCTTGATCTAAGCTTGGTGACCTAAGTGTGCTCCCTGGAGCCCATGTGATAGAAGGAGATAGCTGCTTCTACAAGTTGTCTTCTGACCTCCACATAAGTGCCTTATGGGCTATGTGCATGTCCCCCCCCCAAAAAAAAACCCAAAGAAAGAAAACCTTTTAGAATTATCACTGTCACTTTCCAAGTTCCTTATTTATCTTTCTTTGTTGACCACACTGCTTCCCTCACCCCCACTCTGTGTGTGTGTGTGTGTGTGTGTGTGTGTGTGTCGGGGGCTATGCAGTATAGCACACCAATATCATGGGCAGTATCTTAAGATAAACTGCCTCTGAATGGGAGATTCGCTCCCAGCACTTTCAGCGGGACAACCTATAAAACTTGGAAAACTTGGAATGTGGCAAATGAAGACTATTTAGATGTGGGGAGCACGAGCCTGTGGCCAGGCTCTCTTTACGTTTTTGTATGTGTGTGTGTGTGTGGGTATGTGTGCTTGAGTGCAGTTGTTCGAGGAGTTCAGGAAAGAGGCTTAGATCCTTTGATACCGGAGTTTGAGGCAGTGGTGAGCTTTCCAGTGTGGTGCAGGGAACTGAACTTGGGTCCTCTGCAAGAGCATACATGCCCAGTGGTGAGTCATCTCTCCAGCCTGTGTGGGTTTTGTTTGTTTGTTTTGTTTTATTAATTCCTGAGACATTGCTCCTCTGGTGGCTGAGGGAGTTTTCCATTTCCTTTGAACATCATTAAACCTTGAAGCTCTTGCAGACAAATTTGATGCTATGTGAAGCCCGAGACTTTGTCAGCACTGTTATGGCTCCAGGGTTTACTATTCCATTCAGACTGTTGACACCATTCTTTAATTTTTGTTACAAATCTTATGGAGGATACTTCTGAGTATTCAAGTCTATGTCCTGTTTTTTTTTTTAATCATTTAATTCCTTTTCTTTTTGAGTCAGGACCTTTTTGTTTTGCTTTCTTTTTTTTGGACAGGTTCTGGTTGTCCTGGACCTCCTCTGTAGACCAGTTGGCTTTGAACTCATAGAGATCCACCTGAGTGCTGGGATCAAAGGCTTGTGCCACCACCCCCAGGCACATTTTTTTTTTTTTTTTTTTTGAGACAGGGTTTCTCTGTAGGTTTGGAGACTGTCCTGGAACTCTGTTTCAAGACCAGGCTGGCCTTGAACTCACAGAGATCCGCCTGCCTCTTAAGTGCTGGGACTAAAGGTGTGGGACACCACCACCTGACCTCACATTGGTTTTTAAAAAGAGGGCATTAAATCCCCTGACATGGGAGTACCATGTCGTTGTGAGCCACCCAAGTGCCGAGCTGCATGCTGGGTTCTGAACCCTAGTCCTCTGGAAATTCTCTTAATCACTGAGCCCTCTCTCTAGCCACAGCTTATGTATGCATTGTTTGTCATCCCGAATACACTTGCATGGCTAGTCCTCTTGTTTGTTTGTTTTGGATTTTTCCAGACAAGGGTTGTCTTGTCCTGGCTCTTCTGGAACTCTCTATAGACCAGGTTGGCCTCAAACTCAGAGATCTGCCTGGCTTTTCCTCCACTGTCATTACACTTAGGGATCAAGCTATTTGCCACCATCACTAACAGCATCCCACCCCATTAGTCCTCTTACTTATTATCTATTCCAATTCTTCAGTGCCTGTGCTAAAAACTTTATTAAATATCACCAGATATTTCTCAAATACATTCAAGCCATGATCCATTCATTTGAAGTGTATCCCTGTTTAGTATTGTGTTATGAAAACTTACTGTTACTAATCTATTCCACTATTGGTGAATGTTGCTTTTTTAAAAAAAAATTCTATATCAGCAATGCTGCAGTGAGCATTCTTACAACATGTCTATTATACATGCACAGGGTATGTGCATTCTCTAGGGTGTGTATGAAGAATAGAATGTTGGGCCACTTGTCAGGTAAATTGAATTGGAGATTTCAGACTGTTGACAAAATATTGGTATTAATTTGCATCTCCACCAGCCTCCTCATTCTTCCACATCCTCAACAACATTTGGTACCATCTGCCCTTAATGTTTCTGCCAACACAGTGAGGGTGACATGGTATTCCATTGCAGTTTTTCATTGCTCAGATTAATGATGCTTGGTGTGTGTGTGTGTGTGTGTGTGTGTGTGTGTGTGTGTGTGTGTGTGCGTAGGATTCCTTTGTTTCTGTCATACTGCCTGCTGCTACAGATTTCAGGATAGCTGTGGTACAACTCTCCTGTCTCCACCTCCTCCATATTAAGCCTGGCGTTGGTGGTGCATGCCTTTAGTCCCAGCACTCGGGAGGCAGAGGCAAGCAGACCTCTGTGAGTTCGAAGCCAGCCTGGTCTACAGAGCTAGTTCCAGGACAGGCTCTAAAACAATACAGAGAAACCCTGTCTCAAAACACCAAATAAATAAATAAATAAATGGACTAAAGTGAAGGTGCAGTCAGTTTTTCAGGAATTACTCTGCTTAGCCATCCAGCATAAACTCTATTTGCCCTTTACATATGGGGACACTTTCCAAAGCTGTGGAAAATTAACTATAGCAAGTAGATGTGGCTTCTGCCTCATAGTGTTGGTGGTCAGTTGTAGGCCTGTCTGACAAAGTGAAATCTTATCTCAAACGAACAAAAAACAAATAATTTTTTAAGGTGTTAAAGAGATCCAAGATAACAGCTTTTCAACCTGCTGGGAAAATAATCACAAAAGTTTCCCACGTGTCTCCGGGCCAGGAATCATGAGTAGAACAGCCTCTGGAGACAGTAATGCTGAAGACGTAGTAGGCACTCCTGGAACAGTACTTTGTTGTAGGGACTGCCAGCCCGCAAATAACAACATGGAGACATTATTAATTATGAAAGTGTCATCATTAGCTCAGGCTTGTCTTATAACTTAAATTAACTTGTTTGTATTACTGTACCATCTATGTGGCTTGGTTACCTCTACTCTGTACCATATGTCCAACCTCTTCAGTGTCTCTCTGGCGTCTCTATATTGCTCATGCTGCTTCCTCTGTGTCTGACTGTTGACTCTGCCTTTCTTCTTCCCAGAGTCCTCTCTGTCCTCTGAAGTCCCACCTAATCTCTTCCTGCCTATCTATTGGCCATTCGGTTCCTTATTACACCAATCACAGCAATACATCTTCACACAGTGTATAAATATCCCACAACCCCCTCAAAATGTGTTCAGTGGGTTAAAGTACCTGGGGCAGCGTGCCTAGTTATATCTAAAAACAAAACAAAACAAAAAAAAAACAAACAAACAAAAAAACCTTTTTTCTCTCTTCATCCTGATCCTGAAGCACAGTCTTCTATAACGTGTGACTTGTGATGCTCTGCTGTGTCTCTTAGAGTTTTTCTGTGTGGAAGTTTAGCTACCCCAAGCCTTTTTCTTGAGACTCATATATTTCTCATTTTATTCAGAACATTTTTGTTGGTGTTTTTTGAGACAGACTTTCTCTGTAACCTTGGCTGTTCTGTCACCCACTCTAGACCAGGCTAGCCTCAAACTCAGAGAGATCTGCCTGCCTCTGCCTCTAGAGTTCTGGGATTTAAGCCATACACCATCATCACCCATCTTTTCTAAACATGCATTTCAGCCTTTCTCACCCCAAGGAACTATTTGTTACTGCATAGTTGAAAAACATAATGAAAAATAGTAATTGTGTGTATTCTTGATTTTTAGTCTATTGAAGACAATGAGGTCTACTTACCCAATGATGAAATTTGGACCTATGATATTGATAGTGGACTGTGGTAAGTAATTTTAAATTGTAAAATGTCCCGAGTCTTGTAACTGAGAGAGGCTTTAATAGACTACAGGGAATTGAAGAGCATACTTTGATGAGTGTCTGTCTCCTCTCCCTTTAGTTCATTCTCTGGCTGTGCCCTTCCCCATTCCTTTCAAAGCCATCACTGTCACTCAGCCGTGATGACTATTCCCCTCCCCCAGCAGGATGGAAAATCTTTACTCTGGATCTCTTTACACTTTTTTGTTTATATAGTTTTCCTTGTGTGTGTGGGGGGGGGGATAGGGTCTCATATTGTAACCCAGACAGGCCCCAAACCTCCGGGCTCAGTCTCCTCAGCACTGGGATTATAGGTGTGTTTGACAGCAACCTGGCTACGATTACATTTTATTATAGTTGGCCATGGGGAGAATACTCAGGGAGTTCACAGGGAGCTTCTGCCTTCTGGAAAGCTAAGAGATTCTCTGTGGTCCTTGTTGCAGGAAAATGCACCTGATGGAAGGAGAGCTCCCCACCTCCATGTCAGGAAGCTGTGGGGCCTGCATCAATGGCAGGCTGTATGTTTTTGGAGGATATGATGACAAAGGATACAGCAACCGAGTAATCCTCTCTTTTAATTCAAGAGTGCAGCCACATGTAATCCCTAATTGTCATCTCATGCCACACATTTGCACATATTTTAAGAAGAAGATAACCGGAGTACATCCTAAGTTTGTAGTCATTAGACTTTACAGGTAGATGGAGAATGCAGCAGCCATGTTCTTCCTGGGTGTTCCCCTACTTCAGTTAGCTGCAGTCTTGATTGTTACCCACTGGCCAGAGCAGAGAGAGGGAAAGACTGTCGCAGTGTACTGTTCTACACACCCTTTGCTCCTGGAATCCTGCCTTGTTCTCATCTATTCTATACAGTAAATTTTCTAATGGGTATTTGTTGGAAATAAGTCAGGTTAGTTTTTAGATGGCAGGCTCCTCCCCCCATACAGATTTAGTTTTCAGATGTCTTGACTCCTAACACTACTGTCATCTTTTAAAAGCTTTACTTTGTCAATTTACGAACAAAAGATGGAAGTTTTATCTGGGAAAAAATCACCAAATTTGATGGACAACCACCCACACCTCGTGACAAACTTTCCTGCTGGGTGTATAAAGACAGGTAAAGCGGCACACCTGCACTTTAAATGTCCTTAAGTCAGGGTATAGCCTTTGGCCACACTTGAGGAAGCGTCATGTTTTCTAGTAATTATAGGCTTGTTTTGATGTCAGTGGCAACAGCAGCCCTAAAACTGCTAAGAGCTGTGTCATAAAAGTGAACATGGAAGAAACGATATTTGGATTTTTCACCTCGAATAACTTATTTAAGTTCCTAGATCATTAGCACATTGACATGATTAAAAACTGAAGCTATATTGAAAAGTGTGCAGTGGGAAGGACAGCTTCCTCTGTCTACCTTGTCCACTTGTCTTCCCCTTGGCCCCCATCACAAAGAACCCGGAGGTCTGTGTTTCTTTTTTTCTGCTACTGGAATCTTCTAAAGCTCCAACACCTATTCAAGTACAGTCCCCGGGGATCTGACTGTTTGAAACTCCTCAAATGATTCCAAGGCACAGCAACTCTGCTCAGATCCAGGTGCTTCTAGTGGTGAAGACTTAAATTGTCTCCAGGGCATTTGCTCAGCTGTTCTCTCGAATTTCAGCTTCTTTTCCCTTCAGTTCTTTGGATTCAGCCCAGCGCTTCACACAAGCTAGGCAAGCCCCTAATCCAGCTTTTGATGACCAATACTGAGCACTCCCTAAAGAATCAGGACATGTGTTCAAAACCCCTGAGACTGGCTTTCTTCTGACTAATTTGCCATCCTAGTCCAAGCATGACTGTTGGCAGCTTGGTAGTTTTTCTTTACAAGTCCCCATGTGCGTAGTTCCCTCTCTCCTGCCATTGCAGGAGACATGAGGGCACCTGTGGATTTCTTCTCTCCTTCTGTGGGTTTATCACCTGCTGAGTTTTTTCCTGTATGACTCATTGTTCCCTTAGGTCTTTGATTTTTCTGTAAACTATAATTGTATAGTTTATTTGGTTTGTTTAGGTGGTTACAGTAAGAGAAGAAATCTATTTCAAATTCCTCTTTTAAAAAGTAATTTTTTGGAGCTGGGTGTGGTGACACACTTTAATCCTAGCACTTGGGAGGCAGAGGCAGACAGATATCTGTGAGTTGGAGGCCAGTCTGGTCTACAAATAGAGTTCCAGCATAGCCAGGGCTATTACACAGAGAAACCCTGTCTCAAGAAACCAAAATAAATAAATACAATAAATCATTACTTATTTTTCATTTTATGTGCATTGGTGTTTTGCTTGCATGTATGCATGCATGTTTGAGGGTATTAAATACCTTTGAACAGACAGAGGTGAGCTGCCATGTGGGTGCTGGGAATTGAACCCTGATCCTCCGGAAGAGCAGCCAGTGCTACTAACCACTGAGCCATCTTTCCAGCTCCTCAACTTCCTTTTGTGTGTGTGGTTTTTGAGGCAGGACCTCACTTTGGACTTGGCCTAGAATTCATTATGTAGCTCAGGTTCACTTGGGAACACGTGAGAATCTCCTGTCTCAGCTTCTGAGTGCAAGAATTGTAGGCATGAACAACGGTGCCCAGCCAGTTCAACTATCTCTGAACAAAGGAAGCAAGACTCCTAAAGTGTATCCTTCTGCATTTGTTTTTCAGATTAATATATTTTGGGGGTTATGGGTACAGGAGGCACAGTGAACTTCAAGACTGTTTTGATGTCCATGATGCATCTTGGGTAAGGATGTAATCAAACTTTAATTTTTTTTCCTTTTAATTTGGCATCACTATAAGCCTTAGGAATAGTGAATTAAATTGTTCTCTCTTTGTTGGTTTTTGTTTTTTGAGACAAGGTTTCTCTGTGTATCTTTGGAGCCTATCCTGGAATTTTCTCTGTGGACCAGGCTAGCCTCAAGTTCACAGAGATCCACTTGTCTCTGCCTCTCAAATACTGAGATTAAAGGTGTGTGCCACCATGTCCAGCTATAAAAAAATATTTTTAAATGGGAGGAACCAAATTGCTTGGTAAATTAGAACTTAACTTTAAATTTATTTGTTTATTCACTTGCTTTTTTTTTTTTTTTTTTTTTTTTTTTTTTGAGACAGGGTTTCTCTTTCTAGTACTGGTTGTCCAGGAACTCATTTTGTAGACCACATTGGCCTTGAACTCAGGGATCCCCCTGCCTCTGCCTCCTGAGTGCTGGGATTAAAGATACTCACCACCATGCCTGGCAAACTTACCTTTTTTTAACCTTTGTTTTTGTATTGTGTATATAGATGTTCTGTCTGTGCGTGTATCTGTACACCATGTGTGTGCAGTGCTGGCAGAGGCCAGAAGAGGGTGTTGGATCATTCCGTGGCACTAGACCTGGGTCCTCTGGAAGAGCAGTCAGTGCTCTTAGTGTGGAGGACTCTTTCCAGCCCACCCACCACTCCCCAATTAGTACTTCTTTGAATACAGGAAACAATAGCCATCTAAAGTTCAGTATAGCAAAAATAAGGTTTGAAATAGGTTTCAGAACAGAAATACTCATTCCGTCTCACGCAGCTGAAGAAGTGGAAACTCGTAGAATGAGGAGTGGCAGAGCTGGAGTGGACCTCACTGCGGCACGGGCTGAGGGGCAGCTGTGAGGCGTGCTGTGTGCCTGTCACTTCGCCAGGCAATATGTACCAGAACTGTGCTGGTGTGTTGGCTACAAAGCTCCTAACTATTTGCTTCTGTTTTTAGGAAGAGCAGATATTCTGGGGATGGCACAATGATGTCCATGTGTTTGACACAAAGACAAGGACTTGGTCTCAACCAGAAATTAAAGTAAGTGCTACTGAGTTACCCAGAGACCTCTGGAGCCAAAGCTGGTCCTTTACCCCAGCCCTCGCAAGTTCTCACTGGCTTTCCCTCTCTTAATAATTGCTTTTGGGTAATGGGTTTGTAATTGCATGTAAAATAATTCCCCCTCTCCTCTTTCCTTCTCTGTCTTTGGTGTTTTGAAAGGGTCTCACTATGTAGACTACACTGCCCTCAAACTTGCAATCTTCTGCCCACAGCACACCACCACCCTGCACCCCCACGCTAGGATTAAAGATGTGGCCACTACACCCAGCCAAAGATGCTCCCTTAAAAACAACTAACAATTACTTTTGTTGTTGTTGTTGTTTGGAGACAGGGTCTCTCTGTATAGTCCTGGCTGTCCTGGAATTCAATCTGTTCACCAGGCTGGCCTCGAAATCACAGAGATCCACCTGTCTCTGCCTCCTGAGTGCTTAGATTACAGGTGTTTGCTACCACCGCCCAGCTGGGAATCATTTAAAATGGTTTTCTCTTAATTTAGCTGTTACAGCGGTCAATACTAATTTTTTATACTAGCTGGATTTTAGCACAATTATCCAAGTGAGCCTGAAACATCAGATAAGCTCTGTTCAAGATAAAGTATAGAGAAGTGTGTGTGTGTGTGTGTGTGTGTTTAATTCTAAGAGTTTTAGGAAGACAAAAAACAAAAACAGAACAAAACAACTTCTAAAACCCACCATGTCTAGGACACGATAAAGGGCTTCTTTGGTTTGACTTAAACCATCAGTGAAGTTGTGATTTTGAGGACTTTGGGGGCCATAAGTAAATTCTTAGTCTCTGAGATGCAATATTGGGTCTTTGGAGTGGGGTAAGGGGAGAAGAGAGGAGAGATTTTTTTTTAATTTGATTTTTTAAATCTTTATATTTCAAGCTCAGTTTGTATGAAGTTTCATTTTGTTAGGGCGGTGGGCATTTAAGGGCTGGTAAAGCTGCCTCATGTCTGTCTCTGTTTTGATTTCTGCTTACAGGGTGGAGTCCCACCACAGCCTCGAGCCGCGCATTCATGTGCAGTTCTGGGAAATAAAGGGTATATCTTTGGCGGACGCGTTTTGGTCAGTGTTTTCAATGGAAAAGATATTTTCATGTGTGATGTTTATAAAGACTTGACTTCGAATTTTGTGGAGCATGCAAACCTTCAAATAACCTAGAGATTAAGCTGCACCTAGTACTAATTTGTATTTATCTTCTGTTTCCCAAAGAGACCCTCCACACACTGTTATTGGTGATTTTTAATTGTACTTTAATGAGGACCCTTCACTTGAGTACAGGATCAGGAATGCTTAAAAATCTTATCACCTAAACTCTGTTAGCTTAAATCCATCTCTTTCATGTGCCTCTCTGGCACTTTATTTTGGGAGCTCCATGTTAATTTTCCTAATGCTTAGAATTGATTCCCAATATTTAAGCTTCCAGTGCTAAGTAGAATAAAGCAATTTGTGCTTAATCTGAACGTGTTTGAAAACTAACATTTTATTCCATAAAAGAGTTAAAACACTGTCCAATTATCATGCTTTTATTTTAGCAAACTAGGATGAATGACTTACACTATCTAAACTTAGATACCTGGACTTGGTCTGGAAGGTAAGTCTGGAGTCTATGGTCCAGTCTGTAGGGGTGGGTGTGGGCAGGTTGATATTATGTATGTATGTATATATACACATATATATTATATTTAGATTATATATCTAAACAAGAAATATAAAATTAAAATTTCCTTCCTTCTTTTCCTCTTCTTTCCTCCCTCCCTTTCTTCTTCCCTTCCTTTCTTCCTTTTGAGACAGGTAGCACAGTTAGTTAAATGGAGTTTATGCAAATTACATAAAAAACATAAAAATAGTAAGAGTTGAAAAGAGTCATGTGATTCTTGGCTTTATAATAAGTATTATTTGGGGACTGGTCACTAGAAAAGATGGAGTGGCTGAATAAAGTCATTTCACACACCTACACACTGAGATGGATAAAAGTCAGATTTTGTTTGTGGCTCATTATATTGTTTAGCAACAGAATATATTTAGGTATTAATTTGGACATTCTTGTAATATAATGGAATCATGGCTACTTTATATTATTATAAAGTATAAATACTATTAAAAATAAAACCATGGGCCAGTTGGTGGTAGTGCACACCTTTAATTCCAGCACTTGAAAGAGGCAGGTGGGTCTCTGTGAGATGGAGGCCAGCCTGGTCTACAGAGTGAGTTCCAGGATAGCCAGGGCTACACAGAGAGAGCTTGTCTAGAAAAAAAAATAAATAAGTAAATAAATAAATAAATAAATCACAAGGACTAGGGAACTAGCTCAACCAGAAAGTGCTTGCCTAGCAAACATGAGGACCCAGCTCAGGTGCCCAGAACCCATATAAAAAGCCAGGCATGGTGGTGTGTGCTTCCAGTCACAGCCCTGGGAAGAGAGAAATAGGTGTATTCTTAGGGCTAACTGGCCAATCAGCCTAGCTGAGCCAGCAAGTTCCAGGCAGGTGAGAGACCCTGTCTTAAACAAACAAAACCAATGTAGACAGCTCCTGAGGCACAGCCCTGTTGCTGATCTTTGGTCTCCACACACATATATATGCAAATAAAATCATGAATAGCCAGACCTGGTAGTATACCAAATAATCTCACTTGTAAACTCAATAGTCTCAGGCAGGAAGACAGTGAGTTTGGGGTTAGCTTTGATTACATGACAAATTTGAGACCTGCTTGGGGTACATAGCAAGACCCTGTCTTTAAAACAACCAAAACCCCCAAATAAATAAGGCCATAAAAGTGAGAGGAGAATAATAACAAGCTATTCTTAAAATGTTGGCATTAAGGGTTATGTAAACTGAACTTAGTAAGTGAAAAAGACTGATTCATAAAACCAGCAAAAGATTAAACATTTCTCTACAAAAATGTATACAAGATGCTAAAAAGCATATTGGAAATAAACCAGAAGTAAACTGAAAGAAATATTTGTAGCACTTTTTTCTAAGCTGAGCAGTGGTGGCACTCAGGAGGCAGAGGCAGGTGGATCTCTGAGTTCCAGGTCAGCTTGGTCTACAGAGAGAGTTCAAGGAGAGCCAGATATATGCAGAGAAACTCTATGTCCTAAAAATAAAACAAAACACACAACAACAGCCAAACAAAATCAATAGCCAACTAAAAACAAAATCTAGATAAAGCTTGAGCTCGGTCCTCTAGTCTACCACAGGGATTAATTCAATCCCAGCACCTGTGCCCAGAGGGCTGCCAGGTTGCCAAAAAACACTACTTTGTGGAGGCATCATAGAAGATGCTGCATGAAATTGTTGCGGAGAAATTTGTGGGCCCATTTCTGTATTCATAGTAAGCACATTTACACAGAAGTCCTAAAAGATATATGCCAAATTAATATTAGTTCCCATTGCTGGGAGGAAAGTTATAGTAGTCTCCTTTTAAAACATATTTTTGTGGTTGTTAAAGGATTTATAACCAAAGTATTTATTTCCCTTTGTTTTTCTTTATCTCTTTTTTTCATTCTCTCCCTTCTTCCTCCCCTCCCTACTTTATTTCCCTTCCCGCCTCCTTTCCTCTCCCCCCCCCCCTCTTCCAAGCAAGATCTCAGTATATAACTCAAACTGACCTTGAAGGCACTGTGTAGTCCAGGCTAGTCTCAAATGCTTGGTCTTATTTTCCAGCCTGTTGGGTGCTGGGATTACAGGTGTGTCCCTCCACTCCCCAGCTCAGCTTTCTCTTTAAGATCTAAGATCTCTTTAAGGCGGAGAATGCATAGCACTAATGGGCGAAGGCAGGAACACTGTGAGCCAGAGACCAGCCTGGCTACATGATGAGACTGTGGTGGGAGAAAAAAAAAATAAGACCTGAGATGATAAAAAAAAGAAAAAGTCTTTTCATTTCACTTAATTCAAAGTTGGATTTTAATCTTTCCCTTGCTACAGGATCTCTGTTAATGGAGAAAGCCCCAAACATCGGTCATGGCACACACTGACAGCAATAGCTGACGATAAGCTTTTCCTATTTGGTGGACTAAGTGCAGATAATATTCCACTGAGTAAGTCCATACAGCTTAGCATGCAGTCATTACCTCTTTTACCCCAAGTCTTGCAATGTGCACCACCCAGGTGGCAGGCGCCTGGGGAAGGGCATGTCCATGTCCCAGTCCCTGCCTGGGGAGTGTGAGAGCAAGTGCAGTAGTGGCCTGAGGGGCCTCTTTCCTGGGGGTGTGGATGGTTAAAAGCCATTTTACATTTCTTCTTATGTGTGCAAGAGCATGGATGTATATGCAAGATGTGCCGTAGTGCATGTGTGGAAGACAGAACAACTTTTGAGAGTTGGTTCTCTCCTAATCCTACATGGTTTCAGGTCACCGGGCTTGGCAGCTGGCGCCTTTACCTTCTGAGACTTTTTTTTTTTTTTTTGATTAATTATTTTTCATACTTATACCAAAGTCATTTATTTAGTTAGTTATTTGTTTTTTCAGGAGAGGGTTTCTCTGTGTAGCTTTGAAGGCTGCCCTGGAACTCTGTAGACCAGGCTGGCCTGGAACTCAGAGATCCACCTGTCTCTGCCTCCGGAGTGCTGGGTGGTGCGCCACCACCACCCAGCCCAAAGTTATTCTTTTCCCTCTGTATTCCCATCCATATGCTTGCATTGTGAATTGATATGGTGGGCCTGAGGGTTATAGCTCACTGGTGGATGCCTGCTTGACATGTGTCATGGTCAAGGCACCAAGAGAAAGGAGAGAGAGAAACTTAAAGCCCCTTTCCATCTCCACATCCCATGGTCCTGTGTCTTGATCTGGGAAGATTGCAATGCTATCCACTGAACTATCTTGGGGCCCAGAAGTCTATAACCCCTATCACTGCTGATTCTAATAGTTATGAGTTTACCAGTGCAGTTTTTCTTCATCAGTAAATTGTGGCATCAGAACACACAACTGACCAAGGATATATATAACTGGGTTTGATATGTTAGATTATTTTCTTAACCAAAAAAAATTCTCTTTATTTCCATTTTATTTGTGTGTGTGTGTGTGTGTGTGTGTGTGTGTGTGTGTGTGTGTGTGTGTGTGTCTGTGTCTGTGTCTGTGTCTATGCCATAACATGGGTGTGGAAATCAGAACAACTTTCAGGAGTCAGTTCTCTCCAAGTGGATCCTGGGAGCTACGCTTAAGATTTGGCAGCAAGTGCATTTATCTGCTAAGCCATCTTGTGGACTCTTAACCACAAACTTTTTCTATGGGTAGAGATATTTTTAAGAAACTTCACATACCCAGAAAACTACTTATAATTCTTCCTGTAGAGGGCCTAGGGAACTCAGTTGGAAGCATTTGCTGTGTAGGTATGAGCGCCTGAATGTGACCCTGGGGCCCTTGGGGAGGTGAGACTGGGATTCCTAGAGCTCTCCCATTCAGGTGGTCTAGCCAATCAGTGAACCCTTAGGTCAGTGAAGGGTCCTTAAAAGAGGATGGAGAGCCAACTGGGGAAGATACCCGAGTTGATGTTTCCCTCTACATATGCTGTATGGAACCTGAAATCAGCCTCATTTTCAAAAGAAGTATCTGGAGCCTCCAAAGTCCACAAGTTCCTAGTAGATTGTTCATTATTCTTAAAGGTCATTGTTCTTCAGTTTCTGGGCTGGGTTTGTTTGCTTTGAGACAGGGTTTCACTGAGCCCAGCCTGGCTTCAAACTCACCATATAGCCATGCATGACCTTAAACTTCTGATCCTCCTGCCACCATACTTCCTAACTACTTTTGAGATTACAGACATGCACCAACATGCTCTGCTGAGATTTTTTTCATTAAATTTGGAATATAATTTGTATATTTCACTAGAGATTAGTATATCTTTAAATTTTATGTGTATGGAAGTTCTGCCTACATGTATATCTATGCATTACCTGTGTGCAGTGTCCATAGAGGCCAGAAGAGGCTGTTGAATCCCTTGGAAGTGTAGTTACAGTTGGTTGTGAGTCATCATGTGAGTGCTGGGAATGGAACCCAGGACCTCTGGAAGAGCAGCTTGTGCTCTTAACTGCTGAGCCATCTTTCCAGACCCATACTTGCTATTTTTGATCATTAGCATATGGGACATTGAATGATCTAACTCTTCCTTCTATTCCTTATAGAGGAAGATGAAGATTTGGTTACATGACTACCAAAACATTTATTTAGTTTTAGTGTGCATCCAGCTTAGCAATGTGTATTGATGTGTTTTTGGGGAGAACGATGCAAGACATAGGATTTGATTTACCAATTGGACAAGAAGGACAACACAAACAGCACATGTGGCAAACTTCTTTTCTTCTTTCTCTCTCTTCCTCCTTCCGGTTTCTCCCTCCACTTGATCTTTGCTTTTCCTTCTTTTTGGCTGACATAAACCCAAGGCTCATGTGTGCTAAGTACAGACCTTACTAAAAGCCCCAAACCTTAACAGTTGTTGCTTCTAGGATGTGGGGCACTCTCGATTTGTAGATGTTTAAAATGTTTATGAAGAATATGCAAACACACCCAAGATAATGATATAAATGTAACATGATAAGCCTGTAAAAAACATTAAAGTTTTAACCTGAAGGCCTAATCATAATTTTTGAACTGTACTAATGTTGCAGGTGATGGCTGGATTCATAATATTATAACAAACTGCTGGAAACAACTTAGACATTTACCTTACACCAGGCCCAGGTAAGTCCAAAGAAAACAGCTGAGAGTTTTAAAATATGAAGATTTAGGACAGGATTCAGTGTCTGAAAGGAAACATAAGCAACAGAGTTACTTATCAAATTAGCTTTATGCTAACTGAATAAAAACTATTATTTTGATTATGTTTATTGGAAATGATTTATATACTTTTTATCCAGAGTTGTACAATTGAAAATGTTACTTTTAACTAAATATGTAATCTTGTCTAATAAAGTAATTTAAAACCTTGCATAAGATCAATTTTTAATGTTACTATTTTTAATAAATAGGAATAGCATCACCTTTAATCATAGTTGTTTTTTAGAAGACATTTAAATTAATATATTGGGCATACTTGCTTTCAAGTTACTGTAGAGACAGATGATTTTTTCCTTAGTAACCATCTGAGCAGGGAGGGATGATCCACCCCTATGATCTCTGCACTTGGGGAGTATGGGCAGGGGGACCAGGCCATCACTGGCTATGTAGTGAATTTGATGGCAATGTGGGCTACATAAGACCTTTTCTGAAAATAAATAGCAGTCTGATATATTCATTAATGTGAATATTTTGAAAAAGCAAATGCTATTTATTCATTGTGTAAGATAAATATTATAGAAATAATATGCTATTATTAAAGAGAATCAAATAGTACCATAAAAATGTCTTCAATTTAATTGACTAGTGTAATGAAAGTGTCCTCATAGGAAGTTCAGATACAGCGTGCCACAGGGTCATCTGCAGACAGCATGCTGTCTCATGCCATATTTCAGAAGTGGCCTTACTCCAGATTGTATATGTTAGCATAAAGTCAACTTATATCTTTCTTTTATTTAACAAATGACAACTGATAGCTTATTTGAGAAAAAGACCTAAATATGTTTGTTGATATGTAAACCTGTACTAATATTGTCTAGAGGCAATCATGACTACATATGCTATTCTTGATTTTTATGTGTAAAAATTCATTAGACTATATTAACACCTCTAGCTCTTCTGAAACATACTTGTTTAATTTAGAGTTTTTTTTTTTTTAATTGAGACAACATTCAAGTTCAGCTACTACTTAGTTTTTGGCTTTAAAAAGTCACTTATGACATGTATGTCTTCATCTGTGAGATGAGGGGACTCCTGATTTCCTCTAGGTTTTGTTTTGTTTTATGAATACATTAATTATAATGAAAATGGTAATAGTATGTTTAATTTAAAATGTCTGACTTATATTTCCAGTCTTATGAGTACTTAGTGCAAAACAATTGTTATCAATAATATGCTAGTTTGAGCTAGAGCTGTGTAACATGCTTTCTTTTGACTGCGCTGATGTGTCATGTCAATACTATGCTTTATTAGAATGTTTAGGTGATAAGTGTAGAGCAGCTGTGAGAGGACATAAACTGTCAGTCTGTAGGAAACATCAGGTTGCAAGCTAGATGCCACCAAAACCAAGGCAGGAAAGGCTTTCCAGTGTTCTTCGGTGATGAAGCCCAGGTCCGAGTTTCCCTCAGGCAGATAAGACAGGCAGATCTGCCTTCAGGTATGAGGTGAGGAGGAGAACAGGTGGGGTAGAGTTGAGTGTAAGGAGAACATATATGTATGTGCGTGGTTTTGAATGAAAGTGACCGTGAGGCCACGTCTTGGTGCAGTTTGTGCCTCTCCACACTATAATGTGGAGTGACAGCTGCCCGATTCTCCTCTTCGAGTGTTAAGGCTTCCACAGCCTTGGCACAGGGGACATTTTGATGGGAACAATTCAGAACAACTTGCTGTTGCTCGCATTGCCCTGTGCCGTGTGCAATGGATGCCTCAGAGCATCCTGCCGGAGACTCACTGCTGTGATGAAGCTCTGCTCTCTAGGCCTCACTGTGTGGAAATCTGTGCCTGGCTGGTTATACAACTCTCTGTAGAGCATTGTGTGTGTGTGAAATGAAGAAAGTGTGCAGTTTCACTGTTTGTACCTGTGGGGTTAAGTAAGAGGGATTAATGTCTAAAAATACATTTTACAATAATAAGTGTAATATATAGTTTTCTCTTGGGTGACTGTTGCTTCAGTAATTTGTTCTCTTAAGAAAGCATCCTAAATGAGGATGCCAGGAGTTTGAGAGCAGCCTGGATGCATAGTGAGTTCCAGGCCAGCCTGGTGGGATACACCTACAGTCCAGTGCCTGGAAGACAGAGAAAGGCACAACAAGTTTCAGGCCAGCCTGGCTACACAAAAAGGCCCGTTTTTTTTTAAAAAGAAAAATATAGTGCTCTCTTAAAGTCAGAACAATGACTTTGTAAAATTTTGTTTATCTTGTACAATTGAGAATTTACCTGCAGTTTTTTTGTTGTTGTTGTTGTTTTTTTTTTTTTTTCTTTTTCCTGAGAGCTAGAGTCTGTGGAAATATTCAGCTTTATAAAGCAATAAAATCACTTTTGGTGCATAATGTGAAATTTGAAATAGGTATGAATTACCTATCATACCATTTCTCAAAAAACACTAGATGCTCTACTCCTTCATGGGACAATTTGTATATTTAATGGCTTAGTTAATCTTCTTCTGTGTTTGCTTTTGCTAATCAAAAGTTTTGGAGTACCTACTGGGTGCAGAATACCATACTGGGCATTTTTGGAAGGGAAAATGAGAACATTCAAGTTGCAGTGGTTTACTGTCATTGTGAAAATAGAAGGCTCATCTGGGGAAAGGCAAAACTTAAGCTTTGTGGGGGAAAGTAGTTGTTGATCATAAATATTAAGCTAGAAAGCCCATCTTCAAGCAGAGATACCTCTTGATCAGGAAGTTCCGAAGACAACAGTGGATTTTAACAACTTTCCATAATACTGGGGGTGTAGCTCTGTGGGGGAGGGATTGCCACATACACAGGCCTTGTGTTCAGCCCCAGTACTGAAACAAAACCACACACACACATGCACGCACACATGCACACACACAGTGTATTCCCAAATGTTGACAGGAGAAAACCCTGAAGATTCCTGACAGGGATGTTTGAGGCACAAAGAGCCAGTTACCCAGATTTCATCATGGCACACTTGGCTCAGGTCACTGCCCTGTGCCAGTGTGTATGTGCAGGTGTTAGGTACCAGTGAACACTTCTTGAAGTGGTTGAGACAGCAAAGATTATTTAAAAGGTAGCACTTAATACTGTGTGTGGTTGGGGGGAGATGGCAGAGGGGGATGCGGAACACTCTATGGTATTCTGTACCCAGAGCTATGGATTTGAAGTAGATGTGAGAAGGGAGTCCCACGTGCTTGTGGCAGGAATTGACATGGAGGCCACCAAAAGCTGGAACAGGTGCCTGTTGCACCTGAGGAAGAGCTTTTTAAATTCATTTCAGGGATGGTATGTGTAAGTTAAAGGGCTTAGCAAAGCTGGGGGCTGAGACAGGGTCACTAGGAGTCATCTCTAACTGAAATACAGTGAATTTGAGAGAGCCATTGACTAGCTCACCTTTAGAGTATGAGCTTTGGAGTGATGTGTGCTGTCTTCCCAGACAGTGTCTCACTGTTTCTACGTTTCCATCACAGGTTATGGCACACAACCTGTTTGGGAAAAGAAAATGAAATAATGGTGTTTGGTGGGAGCAAAGACAACTTACTTTTCTTGGACACAGTAAGCAAATCTTACATTTCAACATTTTCTCTGAGTAACTATGATATTCCATGGCAGTATTGTTGCCATGGTAACTGCACAGCACCGCAAAACCACAAGTGTTGCCTGGAGGACCACCCTTCCAAGTCAGAGGCTTTGTGATGAGTGTCGGGGATTCCAGCTTCACAGACCAAGATCAATTTATTGGTTTGACTAGTTAAGTTACTAAAAATAGCCTTTTCTTTCCAGTGCTGGGCTTGAGCCGCGGACCTTGCATTCACACACACTGGGCTGGCACTCACTCCCCAAGCCGCACGCAGCCACAGTTCCCCTTTCTATTTCTCTCTGAACCTTACCAAAATATAAGCATTTGTAGTTTGAATGTGTTACAGTGTCTGTATATAAAAGAATACATAATTGTAGTAATAATCACCTAGAGAATTAATCTTTAAATTTGTTGTTGCTGTTCTTTTTTTTGAGATATGTAACCCTGGCTGTCCTGTGACTAATTATATAAACCAGGCTGGCCTTGAACTCACAGAGATCCACCCAGCTCTTCTTCCTTAGTGCTAGGATTAAAAGGTGTGTTCCATACCACACCTGGCACCCATGGAATTTATTAATGGAATAAACAAGACATGGCAATCCTAAATCCTTGTAAATATCATGGGCTAGCTTCTCCCAAGAAGAAACTGTTCTGTTTCTTTGTGTTTTATAAGGTTTTTATTCCTGCTTCCCATCTGTTTTACATTTGAGTTTCAAACATTGCAGCTTCATTGTGCTATAAAGTCAAAGGAATAATAAAGAGGTCACATTTGGAGAGCCTTGTTCCTTCCCTCATGGCCCAGGGTAAGTGGAGAGCAACTGGCCACTTGGGCCTGCTGCCCATAATTGATGGAAAGGCACTGAATGCTCTGATTTGCATAGAATGCTGAAATTTGCATAAGATGCTGAAATTTGCATAAGATGCTGAAGAACATCAAGACTGAGCAACAGGGATGGGCACAGTTAGCCAGAGATCCCAATAAGGGACTAGCTCCCTTTCTTGTCCTTTCACACAAGTTGCTGCTACAGAGTGACAAACCTTAAAAAAAGATGGCTTCTCTGTAGGGGCTTTGGTTGGTCTTATCATCTGTGGCCACAGCACAGACATGTACAGTGAAGGCTCTAGAGCTATTCTCAGCTAGGACAGCACACAGTGCTCTACTAAAGCAGTAGAGACAGAACTCAGAGTCAGTTAAATCGAAACAACTTCCCGATATGAACAAGGCCCTGGGTTCAAGTCCCATCACCACCTCTCCTCCAGTGGAACATTTGTGGATTGTCTTATTTTTCTTGTCACTAGAAGTCCTTGTTTAGAAGGTAGGCATGGTGGCACATTCCTATACCCCAGCAATTGCTCAGGAAGTTCATGCAGAATTGAGGGTTCAAAGCCAGCCTGCGCCAGCCACACAAAGAGATCTTGTCTCAAAATATTTAAAAGGAACAATGAACAAACAACAACAACAACAAAACCCCTCTACTTAGAATACAAAACGTATCATTGCCAGTCAGTAGTAGTGCATGCCTTTCTTTATTCCCAGCACTCATGAGGCAGAGGCAGAGGCAGGCAGATCTCCGAGTTTGAAGCCAACTGGCTCTTCAGAGCAAGTTCCAGGAAAGCCAGGGCTGCACAGAGAAACCCTGTCTCAAAAATTAAAAAAATAAAATAAAATAGATAAATAATAATAATATTTGAAATACAAAGGAAGATTTCATGGGGAAGCCAGATGTGGTTTGGTTGTTCATGGATATCACAGCACTCAGGAGGCTGAGACAGGAGGATTACCACAAATTCAAGAGTAGCCTAGGTTTCAGGCTAACCTGGGCTGTATAGCAAAACCTTGTCTCAAAAGAATAAAACAATAAACATAGGGAAGAAATGGCACTCCCTGGGGAACTGCTTCCCTGTCAGAGGAAGGCCTTAGTTCTGATGGCCTTCAAAACCAGAGAGAGCCTCCTGGACAATGAGACAGGAGCACAGGACTTTTCAAGGTAAGAGTAATTTGGCAGAAATAAATCTGTTTAAAAAAAAAAACCAGTTAACTAGTTCTGTTACTCACTGTTCTCAGAGAACAGTTGTACTTATATAGGGTATTGATGAGGCAAAATTTTGGTTACCAAGATTTGGTGTTCATATACCTCGTGTTTTCAAATGTGAAAAAAATGTATATGCGTATATATGTATGTCTGTGGATATGTATGCTTGTATGCTTGTGTGCATGTGTATTACTAGTTAAAGAAATGTATTGGCTATTTTACATTCATACAAGAGAAATGATTTGTAGTTGAAGTACTGTTATTTTCTTCAAACCCTTGGTAAGATGCTTTTTCTTTTTTTTGACTAGGGTCACTGTAACGACTTACTGATTTTTCAAACACAGCCCTATTCATTGCTCAGGTAAGTAATTACAGTATTTTTTTTTCATCTATATCATGTCGTGTATAAAAGTGTGTGTTCACCTAGCATTCACAAGGCCCTGGGCACAATCTGCAGATCTGTGTGAACAGTGCGTGATGTCTGGTGTCTGTAATCCCAGCATTTTCCAGGGGGGAGCAGGAGGAGGAGTTCAGTCTTCAGCTGTGTGATGAGTTGGTTTTAGGGGGTTATTGTTGTATTGGCTTTTTGTTTGTTTGTTTGTTTTAGAAACACTTAAAAGCTGGATAGTTAGGGAGACGGAGAAGCTCTACAAGGACTTGAGGTAGGGAAAGAATATGACCAAAATATTTTTTTGGGGTTTCTTTGTTTGCTTGTTTGGTTTTGTTTTATCAAGACAGGGTTTCTCTGTATTGCTTTGGAGCCTGTCCTGGAACTCGCTCTGTAGATCAGGCTGTCCTCGAACTCACAGAGATCTGCCTGCCTCTGCCTCCTGAGTGCTGGGATTAAAGGCGTGTGCCACTACCACCTGGCATACTTAAAAATGTTTTAAATAATAAAAAAGTTAAGTTTTTTAAAAGGAGGGAAATTCTGACATGAGCTTATAACATGGATTGACCTTTAAGATGTGCCTAGTGAAGTCTGTCAGTCACAAAAGAAGAAGCGGTGTGGTTCCATTATCTGAAGTAACCAGAGTGAGCACACTCCTGTGGACAAAGGGTAGAGCAGAGGTAACCAGAGGCCTGGCTGGGGAATGGGATGTTGGTCTAAAATGGGTTCCGGATTTCATCTAAGGAGGATGGAAAGATTGTGGGAATGGAGGTGAGATGGTTGCAGGTGCTTAACAGTGCAGAACTGTTAGCATGGAGAATTCTGTGCTAGGTTTGCTTCATCTTAATTTTAACAATAATGAAGTATCTGTTAAGCCACAAAAAGGCAAAATATGTGCTATGTACGTGCAATAATCTGTTCCTCCTTTGGGGAGGAGTCATACTATGTTACAGGTAGTTTATTACTTGAATTCAAGAAAGTATTTACTTCTGTCTAAGAAGTAAATAAAAGCCCAATGTGGTGGCACAGGTCTTGAATCCCATACTCAGGAGGCAGAGGCAGGCGGATCTCTATGAGTTCAGGCCAGCCTGGTCTACATAGCAAGTACTAGACCATGTAAAGCTACATACTGAGACTGTGTCTCAAATAAGTATAATCAAATTTATATTGCGACCATTCACTAATATGAGTTGTTTGTTTGTTTGTTTCTCTGTATAGCCCTGGTTGTCTTGGAACTAGTTCTGTAGACTAGGCTGGCCTCAAACTCACCACCCAGCTGACTAGTATGATTTTTAAAAGTTAAAATGTACAGTATATTTTTGGGTTTTTGTAAAATTGTTTATAATTCATATAGTAATATCAAAGATAGTTTATTTCTAGGCTGTACATAGTAGTACATGTCTTTTGTCTCATCACTCAGGAGGGAGAAGCTGTATTTCGACTTTCTGGAAATCAGAATATGTCTGGCAAATGTCAAATATATGATACAAATATATACATTTAAAATAAAAGAATCTAAGCCAGGATTAGTGGCACATGCCTTTAATCCCAGCACTTGGGAAGCAGAGGCAGGGGAATCTCTTAAATTCAATGCTAACCTGGTCTACAGAGTGAGTTCTAGGACAGCCAGAGAAAGCATGTCTCAAAAAACCAGGTGATGATGATGATAGAAGAATTTCTCTTGACTCCATAGCTGTTATGTAGTTGCTTGGACACATGATCTTCTGTCTCTGTCTCCAAGATGCTGGGATTACAAGCGTGTGCCCTCACACCCTGCTGACAGAATCATGAGGAAGTAGATTTTAGCAAAAGAGAAAAAACAAATAGTCATTGGCCGAACAGGATTCTTTTCTTTTTAACACAGTATCTGGGTTTCAGCTCTGCAGGAACTACCTCCCTATCAAGTGAAAGCTTCTGGGTTTGATTCCCAAAATCACAATAAATAAATAAGTAAATAAATAAGTAAAATCGTAGACAAAAAAGAATATGTAAAAATGGGGAAATGTAATTGTTAGGACAGGCCATTGAGAAAGGCTTACCAGTAGTGGATTTCAGTAAGGAGGAAGAGATAAGGATATTGGCCTGTCCTAAGGTGATGAAAATTTGAAATACCCTTGGAGCTCACCGGGAGCATGCTGGCCAGGGCTGTGCGGCACGGTGACATGTGGTAGAGAGAATGAGTAATGTCAGGTCTGTACAAACGTGGCTTACTTCAACATCTCAAGGCAGCTAATCCCAGGCGAAAGAAACTGATGGATGGTGTGAGTTTGGCTAGGATGTTGTAACAGGAACAGTGGAGGGTGGTGGGGGCTGTTTCCTTGCTGCTGGCAAGGTCTTAATATGTGCAGAACAGGAAGAGTGAAGACAATAAAGGAGCCCAGCGTGGTCACAGTCATTTAAGTGACTGAAGCAGGAAAGTGAGAGTTCAAGGCCAACCTGGTTACAAAGTAAAAGGGGGACAGAATAGAATCAAGCTAGAGACATCTCAGTGGTTAAGAGCATGTTTGCAGGGGATCCAAGTTCAGTTCCCTGCACCTACGCTGTGTAGCTCAAGACTGCCTGTAAACCCAGTTCCTGAAGCGCTGACACCTTCCTCATCTGGTCTCTGGGCACCTACATATCTGTGATGCACATAAAACATATAAGCACACAGACATACACATAACAATATTTTAAAATGTTTGAAAAGCACTTCCACATAAACACTGAAGTCAGTAGAGAGACAAGCTTATGTTGAGCCAGTTCGAATTTCTCAGTGATTGGGCTGGAATGAACAGAAGTAAAAAAAGGTGGCCAAGGACCTAGAGACCAACAGCAGGCCACCATACCCGGGTGATGCTAACAGAAGGACTGAGGAGATGGCCCAGTCATTAAAAGTCATGCAAACATGAGGACCTGATCCCCAGCACACATGTTAAAAGCTGGGCACAAGAGTAGGTGCCTGTAATCCCAGCACTGAAGAGGCAGAGACTACTGTCAAGTCCCTGGTGCTGGCTGGCCACCAGTCAGGCTTGCCAAATTATTGAACTCCAGGTTCAGTTAGAGATCCCATGTCAAATCATCATTAATAATATGTGCAGAATGATCACCATCATAGTCATAACATGGGGGGGGTGACTGGGAAGACAGTGTTGACCTCTGGTCTCTTTACAAGCTCCCATGTACATATGCACACATGTATGAACATGTGCACACATAGCAATACTCATATACAACACCCCCCACACACACTTGAGTGTAACAGGAACATAGTAGCTTTACTATGTGATGCCTACTCACCACGGGGAACCATCCCCACTGCAGTCATGTGATCATTTTATTTTAAATGTTAAGTCAAAGCATTTGTCACTGGCTGCTCTGAAGTGCTGGGAAGAAAGAATCATGAATAGGACATGGCTAGGACAGAGATCATTGGAAGCTGTAGTAAAGAACACACACACACAACGTATGCTGTCTTAAGCCTTTTTTTCAGTGCATACATAGGTAGCTCTCATGTGAACGTATAATTAAACATAATAGCCTGTATCTGTGTTAGCAAAGGCTGTTAGGTTCTCTCTTACACACAGGACTGAGCAGACTGACCATAGCTATTTAGTATGTATTATAGTAAAGCGTGGGGGACCTTTGGCGGGACCTTGGCAGATTCCACACAGGCAAGGATGACTGAGGCAGAGGGACAAACATGCTAGGCAGATAGGGCTTAAGTGAGAAGTTAGACTACAAAGGGAAGGGAGGGCGAAGGAAAGAGGAAAGCGGTAAAGAGACACAGAGAGAGGACAGAAGAGAAGAGGGAGACAGGAAAAGTCCTGTCTGCCCCAAGGGAACAGTGCATAAGAGAGCAGGAAAGAGAAGTCGGCAGAAAAGAGCATAAGTGGGCCGAGGTCTTTCTTTTTAAGGGGTCCTTTCACCTGGGCTGACCAGGGCACCACCTGAGTGCATTCTGCCAGGTGACAGGGGCAGGCCAGCATAATGCCTGAATCTTTACAGTATGTCTGAAGTTTGGGGCTGTTACAAAACTTAGGCGAGAAGTCGTCTTGGATATCCTCTTTGGAAAGCGTGCAGATCCCCTCAGGAGAAATTCCCAGAGGGAGTCTTGGTGGGTCAGACTGCACTGTGGTACTCTTTGGTGGCTCTCACTGCTTGCTCAACCTCTGACCTCCAGCCTCACTTAACCCACTGACTGAAGTGTGCTTTCTCTAAGACGCTGATCTGGCATCTGCCGGGTTTGGGGAGTAAGGCTGCCTCCTGTGTCCATTGAGGTCCTAGGACTCAACATGGGGGTCCCACCTGGAAAGTTCCCCTGACTTGTGCTGTTTGATTAACTTCTGCAGGGGCCCTTCAGGACTTAATAACCCGAGACAGTGTTTCTATCAGCTGGATGTTCATTTCCTTTGTAGCTCATGAGCTCCTTGGATGTCGACACAAGGGTTTCCTGTGTTGATTTCCTCTCCTGCGGCATGCCCACTGAGAGTTGCCTTTCATAGGCTGGCTTCTCTCTGCCTCCTCCTCTGTCTCCCCATGACAAGGGCACAGGAGTTGGGGTGTCAGTGTAGGAGTGGAGCTGGGCATATACCGTGGGATGAAATTAAAAATTTCCTATACGTCTATACCCAGAACGTTTAACTCTTCTTATTTGGAGTTAGTAATAGAAAGGAAAAGGCTCCGTGAAAATAAGAACAAGGGCTTATGGGGGTCAACTGAAAGGTAGATGATTTCCTACACTGGGAGGCCCTGAATTCAGACCTACCTGTGACGTTTGTGGGAGTCACAACTACCGCAAGCATAGGAGGCCGATGTAGGCCTGTGGCGGGGCAAGACTGATGGGGCTCAGTTCTCCAGCCCTGCAAAAGGAACACTGAGAGAGGAGCAAGGGAGGGGGAGGGAGGGTTCCGTCTTTTGTTTTCTCTAAGACTATCAGAAATGTTTTATAATTACTCTTGAAGTTGTCAAACGCACATTTAAGAAGTATTTAGAAAAGAGAAAAAGTTAAGCAAGAAAAGATGAAAGAAAATATACAAGTTTCATTAATTTTTAAGAAAGACTTATTATTAATTGTTTTCTGTGTACAGGTGTTCGTTCTACTTGTATGTATGGCTGTGCACCACATACAGGCCTGGTTTCCATAGAGGGTATTGGATGTATGGTGAGCCACCATGCGTGTGCTGGGAATTGTACCCAGGTCTTCTGGAAAAGCAGCCAGTGCTCTCATATTTTTATTTTGTTTTTTGTTGTCAAGACAAGGGTTTCTCTGTGTAGCCCTGGATGTTCTGAAACTAGCTCTGTAGACCAGGCTGGCCTCAAACTCACAGTGATCTGCCTACCTCTGCCCTCCCCCCACCCCCATGCCCCCAGTACTGGGGTTAAAGGCTATGCCAACCACTGCCTGGCAACTCTTATACTTTTTAATTTTAACTTTAATGAGAATTTCATATATACTGTATATTTGTATCATTCCTACCCCTCCACCTCCCTTACCAATTTTATAGGTTAATGTGACTCACTATCCTGTTCATTTACCCCTCTGTCCTCTCTCATTTCACTTCTGGTCTTCCTGCCTCTGAAGTCTGAATTTTGGTTTTTATTTTCTTTTGGACTTCATGCTTTCTGACAAGTGTTCTACCATTCAGCTCTATCTCTGTCCCCCCCCCCTTTTTTTTTGAGACAGGGTTTCTCTGTAGGTTTGGAGACTGTCCTGAACTTTCTTTGAAGACCAGGCTGGCCTTGAACTCACAGAGATCCACCTGCCTCTGCCTCCCAAGTGCTGGGATTAAAGGCGTGTACCATCACGACCCAGCTTTCTCTGAATCTTGTGAACTAAAAAATATTAGGTGTGATGAGTTACACTTTCTATTTTCTTGAATTTTGCTCAGATATGATCTCTTTATGCTGAAAAAAAAACATGATTATTGTAGTGGTATAAAATATCCTCTCATATTCCAAAGAAAAATATATGTGTATATACACACGCATGCACACACACACACACACACACACACACACACACACACACATATATGTTGTCATCTAGAGTATTTAAATAGGTCTTGTGGAAAGGGAAAAGAATACTTAGTTTGTTGGACTGGTGTGGGAGAATCACCTTAAGTTTGAGAATAGTCTAGGCTACAGAGTGAGTCCATGTGGTTTTGATTGTTTTCTTTTGGGTTTAATACATGCTCTCGAGTGCTCATTGTAGGCAAAAATGCTCAAAACTAAGCAAACAAGGTTTAAGGTGGCTCAGAGGTCAGGAGAACTGTTGCTCTTCCAGAGAGGACCCAGATTTGGTTCCCAGCATCCATGGCAAGTGACTCACAACCCTCTGTAAGTCCAGCTCCAGGGGATATGGTGCCCTCTTCTGGCCCCTGGGGGTACTTGTACTCTCATGGCATACATTCACACAGATATGCACACACGCGCGCGTGTACACACACACACACACACACACACACACACACACACACACAATAACACAATGAGTCCTGGATTCAGAAGCTAACTATTCTCTCATGCTTTATTGACAGGTCATGTCTTGACTGCATTGGGAAAAATGCTACCATTTTAAAAAGTCAAATATCTTTATTACCTCCAAAACTTCTGCAGCAAGTTCTCAAGAGAATAACCTTTTGGACTGCAGCCAATTACCGAAAAGAGCAAAGAGTCCTAGAAGAAGGGACAGTAAGCAAGCACCAGTGGGTCAGTAGCCCCTGAGTGGCTCCAGGTCCAGTATGTCTAAGTCAAAGTGTCTTAATGAGACCACACATCTGACCCTCCTCCCCTCCAGCCACAAGCTCTATTCAGAGGATAAAATCAGAAAAAAATGTCTTGCTAATGTGATTGAATGATATGGAATATATGGAAATAAGATGTAACTGAAGATTTCTCTGTGTATTTGTAAACTGATTTACTTATAAAAGACAGACTTCGTGTTCTTTCTGGAAATAAGTACAGTAACAGCAGTTCTTAACTCAGTGTGTGCTTTTTTGGGAAGACAGAAATTACGCTAAAATCTTCAGAAATCCTCTAACACAACTGTAGGTGTAGATATAAAAATACTCATTAACTTTCATTACTTGTCGATCACCCAAGTGTCTCCTTAAATAGCATCATTGGAACTTTCCATCTCCTTGACGATCAGGGAAGCATCCTCAGATAGTCCTGGCTCTACCCCCTCAGGACCACATGGGTGGAGGTCAGTTTGAACATTGGGGTGTGGGGCATTAGTGGCTTTTGAGACATGGAAAAAGGTAATATTTGCAAATAAGGTGGGGTGATAATCTGGTGTTTTAGACTCTCTGATCCCTCATTCGAGCTCTACAAAGTTGATGCTCTAGACACCACAAGTCCTGACTATGACAATGACAGCTCCTTGCTCTCTGAATCGTTATCCAGAAATGGGAGACTATACTGTTATATTCCTCAAAATGGTACTGAGGCCATTTTGAGACATTTTCCCTCATGTGCTCAGTCTTGTCCTTCACTGACATACTTGTTATGAGTGATTACTAAAGGGTTCAGTGTATGATATAATCCCCTCACTGTCACCATGTAAGTTATCTCTAAACTTTAAAATGCTGTGAAAGTACATTTCTGTATTGTTTTTAATTTTTAATGGATGTTGTAGTCTTTCATTAAACTGTACATGTGTTTTTTATGTGTTATATTTTGGATGTGTAAAGCTTCTATTTGTGTATTGGAATAGTTTGTGTTTACATTTTATTTATTTATTGAACACAGTGTATAGAATTATTGCTTCACAGTTTTGTCAGTCAGTGTGGACCAGTCAGAGTTCATTTCAGTGTGGGGCTGGCAACATGGCTCAGGATGGAAAAGGCTTGCTGCCCAGGCCTGGCGTCCTGAGTTCCATCCCTGGCACCAGCAAAAAGTAGGAGGAAAGAACAAACACCATAACAGTTGCTCTCTGACCTCCACAGATGTGCTCAAACATGTGCTCAAATATATAATGCACACACATACAATAATATCAAAGAAAAATTAAAAGTCCCGCTGTGAATTTTTATCTTTATCTTACCATTTGCAGTCTGCATAATAGACATGGGAACTGAATTTTACAAATAATATACTTGGGGGAAATTACTATTATGAACTTAAATATCAGCATTTAATGATTAAGACACACACACAAAGGCAGAACACTATGGCACAGAGGATGTGGGAGCCTCTCTATCTCACTGCAGGCAGAAACATTGGGGACTTGGGCTCAGTGCTCTAACAGCTAGATCCTACCTTCTAGTTTCCACAGATGCCCAAAATGTCGCCACCATTTGATGACCAAGTGTTTCATTCATGAAACTGTGTGGAGCTTTCATTTTCAAACCATATAGTTCTACTCCTAGCCCCAAAGGCTCATGGCCATCCGTGCATCCAGTTTACCTCCTAGAGTCCCAACAACCACAAGACCCTCAGAAACCCAAGTCTAAGTCCCTAAGACTCATCTGCCGGCCTTGGGGATGTCTAAGCATCCTCCCCCTGGATCCAGCTGGACCTGGAATCTGAGCATGCCTGGCTTCGAGTGTCCCTGTTCCATACCTTAGAATCTTCTAGCGCTTGCCTTCAGGGTGTCAGATGCTGAGGCGAAACACTTGGTTGCTGGGGCCAAGAATCGATGCCTCCAAGGACTGGGATAGGTGCTGACCTTTCACGTGGGTCAGCATTGATACTCGCTCAGTCATTGAACTGAGTGACATTTTTGTACAGTCTTTATGAATGTGGCAGTTTGAATGAGAATGACCCCCATAGGCTCAAAGGGAGTGGCAATGTTAGGAGGCGGGGCCTTGTTGGAGGAGGTGCTTCCAGATGTGGCACTGAGTCCCAGCCCCCTGATGTTTCCAGCCTGCAGTGAGGTCCAAAGGCTCCTAATGTCTCCCACCCTTCTGTGCCATGGTGTTCTGCCTGCCTCTCTCTCTCTCTCTCTCTCTCTCTCTCTCTCTCTCTCTCTCCCTCTCTCCCTCTCTTTCTCTGTGTGTGTTATTAAATGCTGATATTTAAGTTCATAATAATAATTTCCCCCAAGTTTATCGTTTGTAAAATTAGTTTCTATGTCTGTTGTGCAGACTAAAAATGGTAAGAAAAATATAAAAATTCACACTGAAACATCTTTGGAATGGGCTTTGAGGTTTCAGAAACTCAAGCCATCACGTGTCACTCTCTCTTCCTGCTGATCTGGATGTAGAACTGTCATCTACCTCTCCAGCACCACGTCTGCCTGCATGCCGTCATGCTTCCCATAATGATGATAATGGACTAAACCTCTGAACTGTAAGCCAGCCCCAGTTAAATGTTTTCCTTTATAAGAGTTGCTGTGGCTATGGTCTCTTAATAGCAATAGAAATCCTGCCTAAGACAATAAGGAAAATATTTGTTCTTATTCATTTGTTGAGGCAGAGGTTGGGTGGCACATGAAGGGATCAGAGAAGAACTTGTACCATGTGGGCTCCTGTACCCAGGTTATCCAGCTTGGCTGCAGCCTTTATCTGCTGAACCACCTCTGTCCCAAGAACTCTGTCTTAGACCAACTTGAATCTTCTCTGGATTTGATGAGGTAGAGTGATGTATAAGCAGTGGTTGAAAAGTTAGAGGTCTTCTGTTTGGGTATATTTATGTAATATACAAACATCAACATAGATAAGTATTGCACTGCAGGGATGAAGAGCCCTGAAACTAAGGCTTTTGGCACATGCGCGCACACAAACACTGTAAATACAATTTTTAAAATTAAAAAATACCAAAGTTGATTGGGCAGTGGTGGTGCACACCTTTAATCTCAGCACTTGTGAGGCAAGAGGTAGGTGGATCTGTCTGTGAGTTTGAGGCCAGCCTAGTCTACAGAGTAAGTTTCAGAACAGCCAGGGCTGTTACACAGAGAAAAAACCCTAGAGTCAATTTAAAATTAGCATTGAATTAAAATTTTCACTTAATCCATTGAAATGTATTGGTGAACCCAGCCTGTGCAATAACATAAAACTTTTTTTTTTAATTTTTATTTGAGACAGGGCCTCCACATATTGCTAGCTGTCCTGAAAATCCCAATGGATACTAAGCAGTTCACAGATTCACAGAGTTCCACATGCCTCTGCCTCCAGAGTGCTGGGATTAAATGAGTGATTTACTACCCTGGGCAACAACATAATGTGTATGTATGTGTATATACATATATATGTATATATATGTACATACACGTACATATGTATATATTTTTAAACAAAAAATAACATTGTTTTCCAAGACAAAATTTAAAACAACAATGATATTGTTTTGCATTTTTTATGAATATCCTTATAGACAACTAGGTTCTTTAGCTTGGTCTACATTCAATTTGTTGTCATATGTTTTTAAAGTTACATTATTTCATGCAAACATGCATGCCCATTCGTGAGTGTGTGTGTGTGTGAGTGTGTGTGTGTGTGTGTGTGTGTGTGTGTGTGTGTATGTATACTGAGAACAACTTATGTGCTGGAGTTAATGCTTTCCTCCTACCATGTGGGTCCCAGTGATCAAACTCAGGTTATCAGGGCTGGTAGCTTTCTGTAATGGTCTCTAAATACAGTAGAGATAAGCCTCTTTGATAGGTGAGAGCCATGTTTATCTGTGGCCATAAAGCTAATTATTTAGAATCCTGTTAGGAATGAGCTCACTAGCCACAAGTTAGGTTTCCAGTACCAGGCATAATTTTCCTTCTATTAAGTGGGCCTTAAGTCCAATTAAACAGCTGGTGGCTACCAACATGATCTGAGTGTCAACTATTGTACCTTTAGGGTACCTTGCCATCGCTGTCTTTGGTGTGGTCCCTAAGGCTGGGTAGGGGCTACTGAGTGCTTTCCTCCCTTGCAGCTTGCCACAGCACCTTTGATACCATGCAGGCTGCTCTTCAGTCAGGTCCAGCTTGATTCCTGTGAATCCAGTTTCACAGGCAGTGCCCTACGAGATAGAAGTGTGGGAAAGGACTTTCTGACAGGGCTCAGGGATTTAGGCTAACAGTTGACAAGCAGGACCTCGTAAAATTAAAAAGCTTCTCTATAGTTAAGACGTGAAGAAACCCAGAGAGAAAGGGAGAACTTTGCCAACTATATATCTGTTGCTAAAATTCCTTCTTGGGGGAGACATAAAACAATGCCTATACCTCCCCAGGTCCCAACCCCAAACTGAGGCAAAATTCTGCAAGTTTTCACAATAAGGAACCTATAACTTTGCTGGGCTTCATTATAGAGAGAGTCTGGGTGAGGGGTTACTGAGAGGAGCCGACACTCCTCCCCCAACCAGCCACACCCGAAAAGCCTTATGAAGCAGGGATAAGGATTTCTGTCCCTCTCGGTAGTCATATGGAGCCCCCAAAGTCTTCCCTGCCCCCAGATCATGTGCAGAGCTGCCATGTGATAGGAGGAGCTGGATACTGGTGAGAATCTCACATCCTTCTCCCTCCTCAACTCTATTCAGGGGCTGTAAACCATCAATCAAACAGCCTGCTGGGATGATCTTTTGCAAGGGAAGATATAGCTGACCTCCCCAAGATGGTGGTCCCTTGGCTCTGAGGACACTAACGATGGCATCTGACAGAGGACCAATAGATTATATAAAGAACTCAAGAAACAAAGAATAAAGAAAACAACCCAATTAAATTGGGCTGTAGATCTGAGCTGAGAGTTTCAAAAGAAGAAATAAAATGGCTAATAAATATCTCAATAAGTGTTCATCATCCTTAGCAATTAGGAAATAAAAATTACAGCCACTTTGAGATTTGATTGTTAGCCTAGACAGAATGGCTAAGATCAAGAAAAGTTGGTGAGGATATGGAGAAAGGGGAAGCCCATTCACTGTTGGTGGGATTGCAAATTGTTGTAGCCACTATGCAAATCACAAAGGATTCTTGAGAAGCTAAAAATGAATCTACCACATGACCCAGCTGCAGCACTTTTTGTCATATGCCCACAGGAGTTGACAACCTAATTC